GAAACCAAAGTAGCCACTTTCTCTTATTTAAAAAAAAACAAAAACAAATTCAGCAAGTACTTAATTTTTCCAAAATGGCTCTCTGTATTGCAAAGCACCAGGTAGTTGGAATTTTTGGTAGGCAACATTCCCACATAACTTAATCTCCAAACATGGATTTAATGTGTTCCAGAATTCAGTGTGACTTACTGTGTTGAGCACAGTTACCAAATCAACAAAGACATTTTCTCTTTTTTTCTATAGCAAGAGTTTTTTTTTTTTTATATACTCACAACTTTTTTTTATATGGGGTTTGAGATTAAAGAACTTATAATAGGGCAGGGATTTGTGGCCAAGTCTTATGATAATTGCAGTTTGGTCCTACTTGGCTTTTTAAAAATATGTTTTACAATTTTTTTTTTTTTCATTTCTGTGTGGCCGAGCAGGAGATTTTGGTCCTGGCTTTGGTCCTTGTTGCAAGTCAGTCAATGTATGTTGACTAAGGATAGAGAAAGAATCAAACTAAACAATAAAGGACAACAATTAAGAGGGTCAGCTAAACAAATGGGAGGGTGGGTAATCACAATGGAAGCAGAGAAAACAAAGGAAGAGACAAAACAGATGCAATTTGAAAAATGACAATTCAGGAAATTTGTTAGGAGCCAATAATCATAGATATATATATATATATATATATATATATATATATATATATATATATATATATATATATATGTGTGTGTGTGTGTGTGTGTATATATATATATATATATATATATACACATGCAATACACATATATATATATGCGTGTATCTCTATATAAATATTAAAAAAGAAGAAAATATGAAAAGAATAACTTGATGTTTTGGGGAGATGGGTGGTATTTCATTTGCCCCTCAAAAGTGAACCACTAAGAGTAAGAGTACTCTACTAGGCATTACTAAGGAAACCAACCAAGTGACCAATTCAGAGCCAGCTGAACAAGATGACAAAGTGCATACAGGCCAAAATCTGACAGGCACTTTTGACTCAACATTTGGCACTGTCATCTTCAAATGCCTGTAATGGATATTGGTCTGCATTGCTTAATAGCTGGGCTCAATAAAAGTTGTAATTTTTAGGTTTTTGTTGTTTTTTCGAAGAAAGTATATGAAAAAATTTTGAATTCAACTGCCCATGAAAATTATGCAGATGTCTTCATTTTAAATTCATTATATTAATTTTTTTTTTCCATTGGGAGGAGAGAGAGAGAAATTCAAATCCAGTTGGTTTGGGATAAAGGAAATGTTAGAAAAAATACCCATATTTCTCATACATTCATACACTCTCCTCTTCCTTACCTCTCTTGAAAAAAAAAAGAAAAAAAAAGAGGTTTCTTTCTATTAAAACTGGTTAAAAAAAATGATAAATTTGGTTTAGTACTGAGAAAATCTAAGTTATTTTTTTATTCTCAAGTTTTGGATGTAGTCTGTGCAAATAGCAAAAAGAAAAGAAAATGATTCCTAAAAAAACAAAAAAAGAAGAAAAGAAAGAAAACATACAAGCTTGAATAGTCTCCCTCTTTGACACAGACACTTAGACAAGCACCAGCAAAAGCTTACACATATCATTTTGGTGTTGCCCATACAAGTGTACATGTGAATGTGTTCACATCACACCACTCAGAAGATACTATTATGTAAACAGAGAAGAAAATGTTCATCTGTAAACATGTGTTTGTTGATAAGAAAGTGTGTGTGTGTGTGTGTGTATGTATTTGCAACACTGTTAGTCTATAAATGACCCCACCCCATTAAAAAAAACAAACTTGAATATTTATAGAAATATAATTCTCTGCATAAGATTAAAGTGCAAAAAAAAGCATACAGTCCTTGGTGAATGAAGATTACATATATACATACGCCCGTTAGTCAGCAGTGGTTCCCAATAGAAAACCAGTGGTCAACAATAAGTCTATACATACAGCCAATAACTGGTCAGTGGAAACACATTGGTTTGCTTTGATTTTTTTTTCTTTTTTAAGTCAGTAGTAGCAGAACAATGGCTTACAATGTCAGAGCAGGTTCATCCACGGGCTCCAGAGAAAGAGCTAGGGTTGCCTTTTTGAACAGTATTATGTTGTATTACAGGAGCCATTTTTTCCTCTTTTTCCCAAATTTCAAAGTAGTCATTTTTCTTGCTATGAAATTATGAAAGAGTTGACTTTCTCAAACAAGCCTCCCATATCATCTGTGAGGAACCAATCACCCCCACCCACCCATAAAAACGAACACACAGACAACTTAGATGTTTTTTCCTTAAAATAAACAGGAAGTGTTTTTATGATTATTTTAAATTGCTTTAAGAATCAATCTTAAGACATTCCAAGCCAGTTTTGTTTCCAGCTGATGAAGTATTTAAAAGTTTTGCAGAGACCTTAAATACAGAAGGGCAGTTACTAATACTCAAAAGAAAAGAAATTAATTAACAAATTGGTGATGAGGTGGAAAGGTGTATGGTCTGGGTGGGGGCTAAGTCTCGCCTCTTAAACTTTATGTGTACAAAATGTTGGTCACACATACACACTCTTACAGACATGCACGCATTCATACACAGTTGTGTACTTGGAATGTTAATATCTATTTACACTCACTCAAATAAAAATAATGAGAAACATTTTTAAAAATGGTCAGTGAAGTAAGCTGACTAAAAACTGATGGCCAGGAGAAATTTTTTAAAACTTTTGGTCTGAGATTTTCTCTCATGCCATCTGTTTGTATTTTGGATAAACAACAAAAAAAAGAAAAGGCATTTAAGAGAGAGAGAGAGAGAGAAAAAGAGAAGGTTTTAGGGGGTTCTTTAATATTATTATTATGATGATGGTTATTGGTTTTACTTTGTTATGATTATTATTATTATTGTTGTTGTTGTTCTTATAATAACTGTTATTGATAGCAGCTAAAATTACAAGCCAAAGAGGAAATGCAATGAGCCTGGTTAATGGTGTGTTGGGAATTTAAAACACAGGAAAGGCATAGATAAAATAAACAAAAATAAAAAAAAAGTACAATAAATGACGAAAGTGAAACATCAAAACTCAATTTTTTTGTTCTCAATGATTTCATTAAAAGTGACGCATTGTTTGAAGGATTTCAAGGTTTTAGTGAAGGGGTCAGATCTGATAGGTGGAATAAGATGTGCTTCTTGGTCAGCATATCTGAAGAATTAAAATTATTGTGGTAGTAGTAGTAGTAGTAGTAGTAGTAATAATAATAGTGATAATTGCAGGGATTATTTTTATTCATTTCTTTTTTTTTTTTTTAAATATTTAAAAAAATTTCCCCTCGTCCTCTTCTCAAGTTGTTCCCACCACATCTACAGACATCACTGACTTTCAGGGTAGTGGGATGGGGGTCAGCAAGCCAATGACTAGTTGCTCGTTTAGATTAAGAGAACAGCATATACACAAATAGAGCAAATGATATGTTTTCTTGACTGTTATCATTCTCAACATGAGGGTAATAATAATAATAATAATAATAATAATAATGATGATGATGATGATGATTACATTAATACTCATAACAGTAATAGAAATAATAATCAGTAATTCTCATCCACTCACTCGGATTTCACAAATGAAAAAGATGAAAATAAGAAAAAAGAAAACAAACAAAAACAAAAACATAATAAAAGAAATGTGTGAAAAACAGAAAATATCTAACAATTTAGAAGCAGTCATTTTTGCTTTGTATTAAAAAAAATGTAAAGGATGTTGTATATCTTTATCACGTTATTTTGTCCATATTGGAATTTTTTTTTTTTAATTTTCAAATTTTATTATTTTTTTCTTTTTTTCTTTTTAAATAATTTTTTCTGGATCACCATTCACACCTACATACACCCCACATCTTCCCCACACAGCATGGCACTAGTAGTTGTTGCATTACAAAAAAACAAAAAAAACAGGGTAATTACCTAAGTGAACTACTGCACCCAGATATTTTGAAAGTCAGGGTGGGTAAAATAGCAAAATAAAAAATAAAAAAATACTTCTAAGAAAAGTGAAATGTGCCACATTGTGTGTACAAGCATACATATACACATACCTGTATGTGGGGTGGGGGTATATTTCTACCTGGTTTAATGAAAAGAAAATATTGTCGTCTTTTAGAAGTACAGAAAATAAACATGGAAGAAAAAAAAGAAAGAAAGCTTGCTTTTAGATAAAAAGATAATTCCAGGTAAAGAAGAGAAACAATACTAACAAAATGGAGTGGGTAGGGAGGGATAGAGAGAAAAGAGGAGGAAAAAGTAAAAGGGGAAACAGTGAGAAGGTGTTGAGTCACTCACTCACTTGTATTTTCTTTTCTTTTTCTTTTTTTTTTTACTGGATTTATTTTATGTTTATTTTTTTTAAATTTTTGTTTTAATCTTTGAAAGTCAATAAAAAGTTCCTCTGCTAAAAGCTGTCAATACATGGAGGCCTTTGGAAGGAAAGATCGTACATTCTAAGAGGGGGTGAGGAGAGTTAGAGAGGATGTGAAAGTGAGAGAGAGGAGGAGAAGTTCATGGGTCAGCTTTAGAAGAAATACACTGTCTCCTCCCTTTTTCTCACAGGGTGTGCCATCGCCAGCCAAAAGCAGCTAGTGAAGGACAGAGAAATATCTGAGCAATCATTTTCTTTTGGTTTCTTCATAAGCGTTACAAAAAGGTGATCAAGACAAAATAATGAGGGGTCATTTTCAGTTTTTTTTTTTTCCTCTCTTCTCTCATCAATAATTAAAAAAGTTTTCTTCAAATCCAATGTACTAGTTGTTGATATTTGTTGATATACAGTTATTACAATCATCGTCATCTTAGTCTTCATCATCATAGTCCATGGTGTCAGCACAAAACTTCCAGAGGGACCCAAATGTGTGACTTTTTATTTTTATTTTTTGTTTTAAGGGGCAGAATCAGAGAAGGATGAATAGGAGCAGGAGTAAGAGGAAGAGGAGGAATTTAGTTTTCTGGTTGCGATGGGGTCAGGAAGGGGCAACTATTTCCGCTTGGCTGAACTTGCAGATGTTGGTCGCATGAAGGATGAAGATGAGGCACCTGCCATCGATGATGTCCCATTTCCAGCAGCAGCAGCAGCAGCAGAAGAGAGATTGGAGCTGGAACGAGACAGGGGCAGGGAACCAGAGACAGCAGTCAAACTGCCGAGACTACGCCGGTTGTTTGCATGAGAACCACTCACTCCAGAGGAGTTCTTTTTTGAGTTGCGGCGCCTTTTGTCCCAGATCAATTTATCATGACGTACGAAGATTCCATGTCTTGAGCGACATTTGAAGTAGCGGGTACCATTTACAGAACCATCATTTTTACCTGAAAAAATAGCAAAGAAAATACAGGTATATGCAGTTTGAAGGGAAGTACATATATAAAATTTTACACAATAAACATGTATAACAGTTGATGTTCTGGCCTCTCAAGTAAACAGTTTGTAATAAGTGAATTGACAGAAATAAAATGGCTTTGAAATTATAAGCAGATTTTTACTCCTTTAACATATACTGCCATGACAATATTATCTTTTTTTGTCTTTTTCAAAATGTTGTCTTTAAAAATTGGTATTATTAGTCTTGATTTATTGACCTGTTTTTTTTATGGTTTATCAACCCTTTGCAAGTTATTTAAAGCCAGAAAGTATTTTTAGATTGTAACAATTTTTGAGATAATTATTTAGTGATACTTACTAATTAACCCATAGTTGGGGTAGAAGAGGTAGATTCATATCTTTCCCAAGGATATTTGTGCATAAGAGAATATAATGAACCCAACTGTAATTGAAACTCGGCTCACTGATTAACAATTCCAAATCATTATCCATTATACTACCCGTACATACTTACAGAACCTGATATTCCCAAGTGGTCATCCATCTAAGAACTGGCCAGGCTTGATGTTGTTTAACTTTGGTGATCATACAGAAACCAGTGTTTCAACATGACATGGCAGTAAGCCAGTTTTGTTATTCAGATATTGTTATACCAGAACATTACCTATTCTATTGTAATAGATTCTCCCACACATAAGTAGTAGTAGTAGTAGTAGTAGCGGTCACCAGTTGAGCTCAGTGGAGTTGAGTGAGTCAGTCGATGTCGGACATTGAAGTATCAACCATCACAACTAGATTGCTGCGTCATTAACTCTTATTTCAAGTTCCTAACGTTTTGTACGTCGAACCTAATTTAGGACTGACTTGTTGAAATACAAGCCTCCACTGTGAAAACTACTCTACAACACATTGGTGACGAGGGATTCGTAATTCATACGGAAGAAAATTTTTCGTTCACTCTATAACAACACATTGGTGACCAGAATTCGAAATTCATACAAAAAAAAAAAAAAAATTTAAAGAAAGAAAAAAAAAAAAATTTCGTTTCGCCATATACAACACTTGGTGACGAACGTATTTTGGATTCATACGGAAAAAAAAACAAAAAACTTCGCGTTCACTCTACAACACCTGTCGATGTGGATTCGTAACTCATACAGAAGAGGAAAAAAAAAATTCACCCGCCATAATAAATGTGGCGTACTTTGAATTCATATAGTGAAAGAGAAAAAAAAAAAAAATTCACTCACGTTATTTAGTGACAAAATTCGTTTTTCATACGGAGGAAAAAGAAAAAAAAAATTTGCTCATCAAATTTTCGGCGACAACATCTTGGATTCACATTTAAAAAAAAAAAAAAAAAAAAAAACTTGGAGAAGTTTTTTCGAAAGACAAGACGTCAACTTAGTGACAAAAAAATCAGTTGTATTCTCAACTGAGAAAAGAATTTTTTTTTTCTCGATAAGACAGTTTGCTCAAATAGGTCACGAATTGCAAATTCGTTTTGGACCCCACTCTACAATATTTAAGCATTGTGTGAAGATGGAGGAATGCAAAAATATATTCCAGTAATTTTTTAAGTTCCAGACTAAACAACAAATGACAATATTAGAGCAACAGAAAACATTCCAGATGCAATTACAGGTGGAAACTTTTAATAGACAAATACAGTTTCAAAGAGAAATGGAACTGATGCATAAGGAGTTTCAAAACAAAATTCTGGAAATAACTGAGAAGAGGAAAGAGAAAAATCTACAAAATGTTTCTTTCCCAGAGAATACAATATGGAATTCGATTGAAATATTCACGTACAGTCCAGATGAAGAGATAACTTTTGAAGAGTATTTTTAAAAATATACAGACGTGTATAACGAGGACTGCCACACGTAGTCTGAAGGAAAGAAGGTTAGACTTCTTTTAAGCAAGTTAGGAACTGCTGAGCATAACAAATTGGTAAACTACATTTTACCGAAAAAAAAAACTAGTAAGTTAACTTTTACCGAGGCAGTAAATATATTAAGTGAATTATTTAGTAAAAAGACATCTTTGTTTCACAAGAGGTGGAAATGTTTGAATCTGATGAAAGAGGAAGAACAAGACTATATAACGTATGCAGCCAATGTGAACAAGCATTGTGAAGAATTCAAGCTAGCAGACTTAAGCGCTGACGACTTTAAGTGCTTAGTATTTGTTCAAGGTCTAGTATCAGAAAGAGATGCAGAATTGAGGAAATTGGTACTTTCAAAATTGGAAAACCAACAAAGTATATGATACAGAGTTTGGCAGAAGACTGCACAAGATATGTTAGTGTAAAGAAAGACTCGAAAAAGATAGAATAGTCTGGCATTTCGCATGTAAGGAAAACATGCTACAAAAAAGAAAGTCAGTCTACCAAAAAGAATTCTAAAATTGTGGATTATCGAACAAAAAGTGAAATACCAGAGAAAAATAAACAAAAACTCCCGAAGCCATGTTTTGCTTGCGGTGAACTTCACTGGTACAGATATTGCAATTTTAGGAATAAAAAATGTTTCAACTGTGAAAGAGTTGGTCATAAAAGCTCGCACTGCAGGTCAAAAAATAAAGACAATAAAATAAGAAAATTAAAGTCCGACGAAGTGAACAACGGAATAACCTGAAAATTTGTTACCGTCAAAATAAGTAATAAAAAATAAAAATAAAAAATAAAATGCAACAACACTGGTTCCAACCTATCTATCATAAATTTGAATACGTGGAAGATGTTGGGGAAACCAACTTTAATGAAAACAAATAAAAAATCAGTGACGGGAGAAAAATCCAAATTGGAGAAGTATAAATTGGAGGAAAAAAATACACGTTAATTAAAAAAACGCGAAAACTTACTTAGAAAATACAAAATGAACTTATTTGGATAACAGATAACAGAATTTATTGGATTTACCAATAAATTCTTTCTGTTACAAGGTTGAAAATTTAAAACGAAGCCCAAAAATTAGTTAGAAAACTTAAGGAAACATTTTCTACTGTTTTTTCTCCAGGTTTGGGGAACGTGTACCAAGATGGAGGCAAAATTACAGCCAAAACAAAATGCTCAGGAGGTATTCAAAAAGAAACGGAATGTGCTGTTTGCTTCAATTGAACAGATAGATAAAGAATTGGACAGATTAGAGAAAACTGGTGTATTTAAAAAAGTTGAATGGGTAACACCAACAATATACATAAAAAACAAGCTCCAGAAAGTAAAAATGAAGCCGACACCTAAAAAAAACTGAGGAACGAGTTACCCGCAGCCAAGGACATGCAGTATTATTAAATGATTTAAGTCAACAAGAAGAACCTACAGAAACTGTGAGTCCATCTTTAAGAAGTTCAAAGTGGAAGGTTGTTTCTGGTAACGCTTTGGAGATATATAAAAAAATAAAAAAGTGGATTGGCTATATGACGTACTTGGTGAAAGGGAAAAACTCACGTAACTAGATCAGACGACATTTTTCAGATGTGGTTTACAGCAGTCCCGTGAAAAAAAAAAAGGAAAAAAAAATGCTGATGGAGGTGATTTTCAATAAGTTTGATCTAACAACCCCTGCAAATAATTTTACCTAAGTACCTTAGGTAAAATTATTTGCAGGGGTTGTTAGAAGAAAAAAAAGAAAGGCAACTGATCATGTAAAAGTGAATCAAAAAAAAAAAAAAAAAAAAAACATAGGAAATACGCTACGATGTTGCTTTAAAAAAAAAAAATTTTTTTTGTTGTTTTTTTCTTCATATTTTCTGTAAAAATTTGAAAAATAAATAAATAAATAAAGAAAACTTTTTACTCCTATGAAGTAAAGTTTTAGGGGGGGATGTTATAACAGAACATTACCTATTCTATTGTAATAGACTCTCCCACACATAAGTAGTAGTAGTAGTGGTCGCCAGTTGAGCTCAGTGGAGTTGAGTGAGTCAGTCAATGTCGGACATTGAAGTATCAACCATCACGACTAGATTGCTGCGTCATTAACTCTTATTTCAAGTTCCTAACATTTTGTATGTCGGACCCTTTTAGGACCGACTTAGCGAAATACAAGCCTCCACTGTGAAAACTACTCTACAACAGATATACAATTAACATTAATAAGAGATATAACATAATAGGTAACAACATATGAGATTGTTCCTGATGTTACCTAATGAGGCTAGTTACTACAAATTCCTACCTATAAATGACTAATATTTAATTTCAAACCAAGAGAAAGTGCTTTTTTGCACAATCAGTCCTCTAGTAGTGTGTTTGCCTGTCTAGTTTATGTAGTAATTTTACTATATATACTAGAGAGACAGACAGACCACTGATTGAAGTATTAAGTATCAATTTACTGATATAAGTAGATGATATTCAAGAAAATAATTATTTTATTTTGAGAACAGTTTTCTTCTGAATTCAAAGCCTTGTCTTTTTAGGGGATTCAAAAAAAAATAGTCTTTACAGCAAGATGTTTTTAGTGATACCAAATGTGTATGGCTTATTGAAAAAAAATAAAATCTAAGACCTATCTATTTACTTTGAAGTTACAATAAGTAAGCTATCATCATATGAATAAAACTAAAAATTCTATTTTGTTGATTGTATTAACCATAATAAGAGAACAAATACATAAACAACCATATTAAGTTGGATGACTATCAAGAACATTTTCTAATTGAGTGATAACCTATCAGAGCCAAGTCTCATTATTTCTTTCGCATTGACATTTATCAAATTCATGTGAGCAATGTTTAGAAATCAATTCAAGAATTTATTACAATAAATATTAACCATAAAATTTTAATATCATTTTGAATACAAACCTTCTGGATTATCTAGTTCTACTCCTATCCAGATTCCACTAGCAAAGTGTACAGTGCCAATGAATTGTACAACGCCAGGTTTGGAGTATCCCTTGGATGACGTGACGATTACACCTTCTCCCTGTTGGATCCAAGTGGGCAGTGGGCCTTCATGGAGACGGTCTAGGTCAGCACGGCTTCCAAATGAACACAGACTCATGCTGTCTTCTCCACCTAAAATAACAAATTAATCAATTTTTTTTCTAAAGGGAAAGCTTACCATCTACAAAAGGAAGCAATTTTTAAGTAAACTTTATCAAGAGTAGTTTGTAAGTAAATATATTCCATAACATTTCCATATTAAATATTATGGAAGTATTATGAAATATATTTCATAAAATTTCCATCTTATACACAAGAATCCAAGGAAATATATTTGTGATTCTACAAAATTTCAAATTTTGTTCTCGAGATACAAATTGTATAAGAGTATTTTTTAAAGGAAAAATTACTTGTGATTAAAAACAAAAGGTGGATTCCAGCAATTTCTGAGGTATTAATCTAATTCTCGCTGTTTTAATATGCATAGATTTACAGTGAAAATTCTGTATTTTATTTCCTAAAAATAATCTGACTTTCTGAAACCAGAAAGTGCACCATTCAGCTAATCAATGGCTTATTATTCAATGTTATACTGTTGCCATTTTATTTTAGAGTGAAGTAATTATGTTCAACATTGATGCAAGGACATAAAAAGTGTGTAAGAAACATTTACTGTTTTATCTAAAAAGGACATAAAAGTTAATTTATAACAATTAAACCTGCATCTGCTAGAGAAGTGAGAAGAGAGCCTTTGGCCAGTTATGCTCTATAATCACTTCTATAACAGAAAATAGATAAAAAGATTTGTACATAGATAAGATGTTTCATAGTTTTAAGCTAACTTGGAAAACAAGATTAATGCTAATTATCAAGTCACTGGAATCTTATTTACTGATGTAACAGTTTGATTTCAGCATTTAAACAAATCTAAACAAGTGTAGGTACTGTTTGCAAAATTCTCTGTTAAGGCAGCTGTAAAGTAGGTTTTCTTACCTGAGAGAGTCTCATTTGATGTGGAAACATTCATGTTTTGATAAGAAAGATCCTTCATGGATGTTGATGTGCTCATTTCACTACCAGAAGGGATGGAGCAGGAAACGGGACGTCTCTTGCGGCCAGACCCGCCCCCGGTGTTTCTTTTTAGATGACCCTCTAGTGTCCGCTTTTCAGAGGAATTCTTTCGATCTAGGCTATGGGCAGAGAAGCTTCTTGAATCACTCCTTGACATTCCCTTGAATGAATTGTTTGCTGCTGTGTTGTTGTTGTTGTTGTTGTTATTCTCTGCAGGGGAGGATTCATCAATGTTCAGTTTTCTGCTGACTTGTAACTTGGTCTTTGTTGCAGACACATCTGTCAAGCTGTTGTCCAAATTCTCCAATTCAGCCATAGCATTTTCACTATAAGAGTCCACCCAGTCACAGTCCTTGATACTAGATCCTATTTCACAGTCATCAGCTGACTTTGTTTTCTTAAGAGGTGTGCTTTGGTCACGTGGTGATGACATTTCATAGTCCATGTCTTGTGTAATGCTGTCGTGGGCCCCCAGCTCGGGTTGGGACATACGTTTTTCTGGGGGAATGGGGAAAAAAACAGAATCTTGAGACAAATTCAGGTTCTTCCTGGTAGCATCTGCCAAAAGGCTGTCATCATCTAGATCAGTGTTTGAGGTGAATCCTTGCTCTCCTAAATGAGGAGAGACAGGTTGCAAAGGAGTGTCATTGATCAATGGAACATTGAGGTCCATCAAAGAAGAGGTTGAAGATCTGTGGTCACCTGTTGCTTCCAGTGCATCAGCATTGTCGAAATCCTCACTTTGGTTTAATGTGTGTGACAGGTCACTGTTTTCATGACAAGTGCTGCTGTCAGGGACAACATTTCCATTAATCAGGTCTGCAAGGTGGGCTTCTGATTCTGCTTGGTCAGTGATGGCGCTTAGTGAGAAATTTTGACAAGGGCTCTCATCAGGGATGCTCTCTAGCCCCTGGTCACTAAGTGGAGTTGGGAAGGTGTTCTTGGGAGGACTGTCCTTGCCTTCACTGGCACCCTCGTCCAGATTAATACTGCGGATGCTTACAGAGTCCTCAGATGATAAAGTGAGAGTGGAAACAGCCTGGGAACCATAGCCACTGGAGGTCATGCTCGGTGTAAAACTCTTGGTTTGAATCTCCATCAGGCTGTCAGCAGTGACAGAATGGGAAATGCTGGTTGGTCTTTGAGCCACCATCTTGTCAGCTAATGGAGAACAATGCTGGCTTTGGTAAGACTCAAACTCTTGAAATTCATCACTGTCATGGCTGGGCACTTCCTTGTTAAACATGCTCAGCTTTTGAGACATGTCAAAATCATCATCAAGGTCCTGAAACAAAAACGATCAACAGGAATTTTATTAGACAGCATTTTTGTGAATAGACTCAATATTTATTTACTTATTTTTAATGATATCCTATTTAACTATAAACAAGATAATTAATTCTAATCTCATCATTCTCCAAGCATTATTAAACCAAACCACATTTCCTGGTATAAATATGCACTTCTAATTTGTCCAGTTAAATGTTGCAAAAAACTTTCAAAGCCCATTGTTTACAATTAGTGTTGGATGAATTTTTAAAGTTTATTTTAAGAAGAAAGTAAACAAACTCTTTCTTTAATTAGATGTTGATCTATAAGGAATCAGATTCAAGATAAAGTTTATTATTTTAGGATAGTCTATGAAGTTGGTCAATACAGTACCAAAAAAAAAAAAAATTAATTTAATATTTTTTTTGATAAGCATAAAATAACACTGTTTAGTAATGTTCCAGAATATTAGGAAGGCATTTAAAAAGAAATAAAATTCTGAGCATTAGGAGTCTTCTTTAAAATATATATTTGAATTACAAGAAAGAAAAATCCTTTAGTCATTTCAATCTATTATTTTCTTTGTTCATGGGCAAATATAATCATACTATTATAAAGTCCGACAGAAAATGAATTGTTAAACAATTTTCTCTTATTTTATTGATTATTCATTAATTTGTTTTCAAAATACTAAAGAAATAAATAAAATATCTAAAAACCTATATTGTATTTATGAAATAACAATGTTTAACTCTTTCAAGAGATGAAAATTATCAATTAAAGAAATAATAAATTTTTATAAACAGACTTTTTCACATCTTTTATCAGATACATTTATTTTTATGTCCAATTTTATTATGTAATTTAATGTTTCCACAATTGGCAATAAGAAACCAAAGTTGATAAGTCCTTTGGATATACTTATATAATAAATATACCATGTAAATTTCAGCATAATATCTATTTGTTAGAAATATTTACAAGGACTTACTTGTTGGTATAAGATAATGTAACCTGATCATATTTATTGGGTTGGAATAAAAGTTTATAAAGTTTTTCAATAGGTAGTATTTGAACAAGTTATTTTGTTTCACATGTGACTGAAATGTAACATTTCAATCTGTCTTTCTGTATGATTCGTGTGTGGATTGTGATTTTTAAGACTTTGTACAGTAAAAATAAAAAATGCTGTACAAAAAAAAAAAAAAAAAAAAAAATGTGTGTCATTTATGGAGGTTATGTCCACTAGGAAAAAAGAAAATTTGGATTTGAAAAGACTAAAAAATGTTCTAGCCAAAAAAAGGTTACTGAAATGACCAAATTGAAACACTGAAAAAAAATAATCTACAAAACATGAAATGGTACAAACAAAAGATAAAACATATTTGATTTAAGGACATTTGGATACATGAATTGCTATGATGTTTGGGTGCCTTACAATTTAATGGACTACATATCCATTTGCAATTCTCCGCACAAATACATCTGACCCATTAAAAAAAAAAAAATAAAGGCAACAAAAAATTGATTGTATATAACAAAAACAAATGTAAAGAAAAATGTCAGGGCAAAAAACATTTTGTATCTGAAGAAAGAGTGTATATGGTAGGATTGGAAGGATATTGCATATTATGAGCTCCTTCTGTAAAATCAGGCATTTAATTTGGACAATTACCATCCCCATTTGGACCAATTAAAAGACAACAATCTATGAAAAGCATCTGGAATTGGCCAATTGGTAGGATGTTGTCTCATATCAGGGCAATGACAGATTACATATCTCTTTGCAGACATAGCAAAATTTGGTACAGATTGGCTGGGATATCCTATTTTACCTGCTGTATTCACCTGACATTGTACATTTGGATTACCACTTATTTTGATCCTTACAAATTTTCTCTTCAATTCTCTGGAAGCCTGTGAAAATAATTTAGATCAGTTCATCACTCTGAAAGATGCTAAGTTCTTGGAGGATGAAACCATGAAGCTGCTTCAAAAGATAGTCAACCAACACATCTTAGAAGACAACAGAGAAGGATGGAGTAATGTTTTTAACTGTAGATTTACAGATCTCTTCAAATTTTATGGTATCAAAATAAATGTTCTTGGTTAATATGGCTTTTGAACAGTACATATCCCAACTAAGAAGTTTTAAGTTAAAAGTGTATCCATACAAGATAATGCTCATTCACATTCTGCATAATTGCTAACTTGCCAAGAAACAAAAACTTTTAAAGACAGCAAATTAATGGAATGACTAAGTCTCTCCAGTTATTAATCTAATAGAAAATTTGTAATTTATCATTAAAGGTGTATAATAGAAAAAAATAATGTGAAGTAATAAAAACTGTTGTAATTAATTTTGAAGTCAAAGCAACAGAAAAGTTAAAATGAAAGAATGACAAAATTTATAAGATGTCAAAGAACCAAAATTAATATGTAAAATAAGAAAATACTAATTCATACACACGAGATATTGTGTTAATCAATATGTTTATGTGGCCTGTATCTTTTGGATTTATTTACAAATAAAAACTTGTTAAACACTATAACTTAGCAATCCCAAACAAGTCATAAATACTTTTAATAATGATAGATATTATAAGCTGTAAATTTCCCAAATAAATCTAAGCATATATGAACAAATTTAACCAACATCCACTAATACTATTTTTATTGTGAAAATATTAACTTAATAAAATCTAACATGATATATAACCATGACAGTAGCCAAATTTCCAACGGTAGAATTTTGCCTAACAAACTATCGAATCCTGATCACATTTTACCAGAGCAAATAATTCAGTTTTATACATCTAACAAAACTAATGCTAGAAATAAGAACTATACATTAGTAATAAAAATGAAAAAAAAAACTTAACCAATTTTAAAAATTTTCATTGACAAAATTGGTTTACTTTATATTACATTAAAGAAGTTTTTTTTGCTAAAAAGAAGCATACCATGATGAAAAAGGGTCCCAAACTTGATGAAAACAAAATTTTATCATCAAATTGTTCATGCTATTATTAAGAAGAAAGACCAGAGTAATTTTTGATTATTTTATTAATTCTTTTAATATGTTGTAGCATGTTTGAAATTTTGGTTAAAAATTTTGGGGTTTTTTTGTGTCTACAGTAAAAAAAAAGATTACTATGGGAAAATTTAACGTCTTTTTTGTGGTAAAAAAATACATTGTTTTGGAAATTCTCAAAAAAATCAAATAATTGTTGGATTTGAATGAGATTTTCAGGACATATTCACAAATGAATTAGATTATTTTTTTAATTTTTTTGTTTTTACGAAAACCTGGTAAAAATATTTTTTTAATTTACAACTGTTACCACCATTTACTTAATTTTATGAAATTTTAAGAAATTAAATTTTGATCCAAATATTTTTTATATTAGTTAAAAGCAGGACTCCTGGGTGAATGTAAATCATCAATTTTTTTAAACAGTTATTCATTTACCAAAAATATGATCCAAATTGTAAAATAAAATATGCAATAAAGCTATGACATTATTTAATCAGAAAAGCTTTTATAAATAAGATATATTAAGGGCAGGCATTATTGTCTTAAGAAAAAAACTTTTAAATTTTAATTATAATAATTTATAAAGTTTTAAAATTCTGTATTAATTTCAGCTTTTTAGATTATATTAAGTGTAAACTATATTTACTAATCATAAATGGTAAAGGTTTATACAAATCATCATGCACCAAAATTTTAAAAAGAATTTTAAATTTTTTTATTAGTGTATAAATGTACCGATTTTTGCAAGTACAGTCAACCATATGCAACATTATCAGAAAATAAGAGCAATAACTATATTAAATTTAAAGCTAAAATTTCTCAAATTCAATAAAGCATTAGATTACGGAGAATATTTTCCTAAATTTTTAAGATTACAGAGTACTTAAAAATTATATAAAAAGGCGCTTATGTCATTTTCTTAAATTGTTTTACAAATAAAGTCTTCACTGAACAACATGGTTACTGTCAGTTAAAAAGACAGCTACTGTTTGGTTAAAAAATTCATTTTTGTGATATTTTAAACTTAAAGTAAATAATATTTGTTTCAGATCAGATTAATTACACTTTAAATCAACTAATATTCCTCAAATAAAGTTCCAGAAAAGTATATTTTATTTTTGCAAGATGTTTAAAACCGAGAACTAACTTGTGTTTACAAATGTCTCAAAAATGGACAATTTTGATGATGTTACTGGAAAAAAAAAATGAAAATTGATTCCAATCAATATAATTTTGAATATTTTGCTTACTAGAAATAGTAAATTTAATCCTTTAGCTTTCTATCAAAGCTAAAATGAAAACTTCAAGAAAGCTTCATTTTTAAAAATTAATTTAAACTTTAGGTATCATGATTTTTGTGGAGGTATATATTTTATATGTTATTTCTTACACAGCACACATTTTTTAAGATTAAAGATTCTCAACCATGAAGAATTGCATTGAAATATTACCGACTTGTTTTATCAAAAGGAATGATGAAAGAAAAAATTCTATTTATTTGCAACTTATTTTCTAAAACTAAGAGCATAGAATTATCAATGTTTTTTTTTCTATAATGAAAGAAGATATTAAAAAAAAAGAGAAATGTGGTGTATATCTGAGTTTGAAAAATGAAATTTTTGATTATGTTACCAGTTCTTCTGAAGTAAAATCTAAATATAATCATATAAAAATCAAAAGAGTATCATTTCTTCACTGTTTACATCAGAACCAAAATTTGTTCTTTCAATAAAATTATAAAGGAACAGTTTATTAATAAGATAAATAAAAGGTTAAAGAAGTGTTTCTGTTTCACTTCAATTTAGATTAAAAGGTTATTCCAAATAATTCCTTTTGGAAATTTTAAATTGTAATGGGAGTAAGAAATTCACCTCCTCAGTATCCTGCTGTAGGAGAGGCCTCCTTTCCCTTTGTTGCTGTTCTTCTTGCAGGGTCCTTAAAGGCTTCACTGCTTTGGATGCGTGTGGGCTGATGGTTGATTTAGGGGTTGCTGCATAAAGAGAACATGACACTTATGAAACTCAACATCACCTAATTGTCCTGACTGTTTTAGATAAGCATTTAGTAATGCAATAAGAACAACCAATAAAGAAATACAAGGAATTAGATCTATTTCTTGAGTAGAGAGAGAGAGAGAGAGAGAGAGAGAGAGAGAGAGGAAGAATTGTCACTAAATAGCAAGGTTTTTGGAAGGGTACAAAAAGTATCAAAAAAGTAAAAAAAATATCTTCACAAACAGTTAAACTGAATTTTTTATATAGAAACATTAAAAATAATAGAAAGAACATGCTTTGCAGTTTATCACTTAAAACAGTAAGCCTAAAATACACATTCTTATTTAATATCACTAACCCCCTCTTTGTCATTTATTTGTTTGTTAATATTTGCTGTACTGCTTTCAACAGAGATTACTTATATATTATCATTAAAACGTGTGTGTGTATTTCATTAAAGATGACAAACAACATACTGCAATTAAGTTTTTTTTATTTCATTTTACTTTTGTTCAAAGAAGTGTTTTCTTTTCTTGATACACAGTGTGTAGAAACAGTCCAAATGTTCTGTAATTCCAAACACTTTTGGCTATACCTTTAGTCATTAATCAAGCATGATTTTATTTCTACTTTTTATCTGGATGTATGGGTTGTGTGTATGTATCTAAACATACTAGTAGAAAATACAAGCATAATAACGTCATCTACATGTAAAAAAAAAAAAAACATTAAAAATAATGGAAGCCTTAATAATAATAATAATAAAAAAAGCCAACACTCAATAATATTAACTACAAACATGGCCATAAAGTGCTGGCTGTGTTTGGAAAATAAAACATCCCTATAATTCTAGATACATACACACAACCCATACATCCAGATAAAAAGTAGAAATAAAATCATCCTTGATTAATGACTAAAGGTATAGCCAAAAGTGTTTGGAATTGCAGAACATTTGGACTGTTTCTACACACTGTGTCCAGAAAAGAAAACACTAGTTTGAATAAAAGTAAAATGAAATAAAACACTTAGTCGCAGTACCTTGTCTGTCATCTTTAATGAAACATGTATAAATGAGGGATTGCTTCCTAAATACACAATATATATATATATATATATATATATATATATATATATATATTACACACACACAGACAGACACACTGTTTTGCTGTATCACAGCTCATTAGTGTGGCTAGACATCTGATCGCTTCAGGCTGGGAATGAAACCAGACTGATTTGGTATCAACCATAGATTCTAGCCCCTAGGCTATTGGCACCCGACAGAGAGAAAGGCGAATTTCTATGTGTTTATTTTTCCATAAACAAACCAGTCACCCAGAGAACTCAATTGTTAGGAGAGACTTGCATTATCAGCTGTATTACAAATTTTATATATATATATATATATATATATATATAGTATGTCATATTAAATGAATAAATAAGCTTCAATCAACTCTGCTATATTCAACCTGAGAATATCTTGTAATAACAAGAATTAAGTAATGCACTTATGGATAAGATAAAATTATATACAAGAGTAAATGGAGTTTAAAACAAAATTCATAGAATCTATTTTGTTAGAGGAAATTTTGGGGGAATTATGGGGAAAATCTCAGCAAATATGAGGTTTCTTCATATCTCTTCATAGCTGTACTGAAGTAATATAGTTGATTCAAGAAATAAGCATATATTAGTCTATATAAGAAAAACAATTATTATATGAATGAATACGAAGACTAATTTTCTAGACTTTTAATAAAAAAAATCAATAAAAAACATGAGGAGAATTAAAAGTTGTTGAGATCAAATCAAGTATTTGCCTGACAAAAAATTCATATTTCTTGAAGTAATAAAATCATTTTCCCTCAGTATAAATAATCAATAACTAATGCCAATTTTATGTAGAAGAGAAATGGAAATTACTATTCATTAACAAATCTTCATTTGAAGATCAAAGAACTGACTTGTATAAAGTATTGATTTAGAAATACATGTCACAATCTAATAAATGACCACCTGTGAGTGTAGAGACAGGTTCATATATATCCATACCAAGAAATAAAATCAAAATAAGTCAACTGAAACCAAAAACAAAGTTAGTACAAAATACTAAAAATAAATAAAACATTTGTATCAGTAAAAGAAAAGCAGAAATCAAATGCAAAGATTAATGTCAGTATTAAACAATGAACAGATTATCCATTACAAATATTTTTTTTAAATGTATAAGGTATTCTCTTTTTCTTTAGTAGTAAAAATTGATAAACAGAAGTTATTTGTTGGCTGAAAGAAAGGTTTTTCAATTTGGGCATGGACTAAAAACCTCAAATATTTCAGGAGGAAAAAGGACACATAGAAGAGGTAATGTCTGGAATCAGACAATCCATTTTTAACATTGTCAGATCATCAATTGCTCTTGAAATTTGTATGGTTATATTCTCAGTGTAATTCTTTGAGATTTGCACAAATACTAATTTTAAGTAACCAATTTATATTTTAGTCAAAGAAAATGAGAGACAAATGTCGAAATTGTTCAATTTTCATAGTTGTCATTGTCTTTTCTTGTATTTTTTCTTACCTTTTACTAAATTCGTCAACAGATTTTACAGATAAAATTAACCAAATGAGATGTTTCAAACCTGGAGCAAATCATGAAGTTTCTTAGCAGTAATACTTACTGAGATAACAAAAAAAGCAAAATTTGAAATCATGAGATTTTTAAAGTTCATAGATAAAACAGAATATTACATTAGAAGATATAATTCATGTAAGACAGGAACAGTAAATGCTTGATTATCAGATACGAGAGAGAAATATTTAATGAACTGGGATATAACTGAGGTATAAAAATATGAATTGGTGTAAGTCATAAGTAAATTTAGTAACAGATATTTTACACCTGAGATTGCTGAACATTTTAAATAAACAGGATAAAAGAAAGATTCATTGTTTAATATGTGAATCAAATTTACTTCACATGAACAATTTTATGTTAGCCAACTGATAAAAGGCCAGTGAGTAGAGCTTAACATGCTCTGTGTCTTCTTCAAGTATTAGTTCTTTGTTAAAAAAAAAAAAGAAAAAACATGAAAGTATGGTGGCATTTCACAGAGCAATGTGAATGACAACATAAATTATAATGAATTTTATTAAAAGAAGAAAATAGTAGCAGTTTTGTGTTTTCAAAACACATTCAATAAATGATAGATTTTATAAGTGATTGGCAAGAGTTGGTCTGCATTGCACATTTTTGGACAAGTGAATGAAAAAAAATTAACCAATGACAAAATTCAGGAGAGATTACAATCTAAATCTGACATTTATTTCTTCACTTTTCTGAGAGAAGCTCTGCTTACCAACAGATTTCTAAAATGAAGTCTCAGTGCATAGAAAGAAAAATCATTCAGTTCTACATGAAAATCAAAAGGTCCCTATTAAGTAATATGAGAACATCTCTTAGGATACAGACAGATTAACTTGCTAACCTGGGTAAAGTTGCCTCCTATGAAAGTATGTAATGACATTTAAGAACACAGACTGGTTGTATACTGTGAGGAATAGCTGCTAACAAGTTGAGGCATAATAAGTTTGGAAAGTTAGTTGTACACTAGCCACATCTCAGATTCTAAAATGGTAAAAAAAAAAGAAGGAGGCAAAAAATGTCTCATGGTCAATGTTCAAGTGGGAAAATGATAAAAGTTTTAAGTCTATAAACCAAAATCTTCTTTTGTACAATCAATGATTGGTAGGTTCTATTAATCTATTATAATTGACCTCAGTTCAATATAATCTTTGGAGTCAATATATTAGCTGAGGCCTAAGATGCAAATGATCATAAAATGGAGTCTTTATATGGAGATTATTATTATCATTATTATAACATGGTGGAAGAATATTTTCTTAAACAGAACAATGAATTGAAACTTTTAGAAGATAATTTTGTTCCACAAAAAAGAGTAGACAGATTCATGTATTTTAGATTAAAGTATTTTAAATTTGTAATTTTACAAAGAAATTTTAGGTTAAACATTGAAGAAGCATATTGAGAAACACTGAAATTTTCTATAGCCTAAAGAAACTGACTTACTTTTAAATTGCTCCAATTCACTTGTCACTATATATTATCTCCAAGCAAGTTTGATTAAATAAAGCTGACAAGGTCTGTTTAATATTTTATTATACTTTTCCAACTTCTGGATAAGATGTTGAGTATTATCTTGTTGGAAAAGTATAATCAAAAATTAAACAGACAGACCTTGTCAGCTCTATTTAATCAAACTTGTTTGGATAAATACTTGCTTCCTAAACATACCTATTAATTGTTTCACCCCAATCAAGGCAATAAAGCCACTAAGACAAAAGAAGTTACTACGAGTGAAAGAAACTGAGAAAATATTAAGGAGAGATAATATAATTTTGAAAACTTTGTCTAACATTGGATTTCTGGGGATGATTACTGTTTATTATACACTAAGCTTAAAATAAAAAAGAAAATATTTCACAAGCTTCAAAGGAATCTGTTCAAGTAAGAATATATTTAAAGCAATGAATAGTTGATTAATAGAATATGTTCATTTTCTGGCTCTCCATTAAGGCCATTAGAAGGTCTTAGCATATGTTCCCAACTACTGGTCTTCATTAAGTAGAATTCTTATAGTTTCTCTTATTATCTTAACTCTTACCATTGTTAGCAAAGATGAATATTTAAAAATGAAAACTTTATTTTAATCATTCAAAATATGATTAATCTTTTCTTTTTTAACTACTCACTTTTCATTGTTAATATATTAATAATTAAAATCATTGTTTGAATAATATACTGCAAAAGGTTCTTTTTAAAATGTTAACATGCTTATAGTCTTTGACAAGAAGAAATGCATTTACTTTTGAAATATGCCAAAGTTTCTGAGTTACCATTGTAGAAAACAAACATAAATCAGAGACAAAGTTCTCCAAGACCAATAAAATCAGTAATAATTTTTCAATCTTT